TAAATAGTAGACGAGGTCATGTGTAGATATGGTGAAAATCATGGAGGAGGTCTAAGAAAGAATGGCGTTTGGGAAACCGAGGAAGATGAACGTCTCAGATCCCTAGTCTCCTAACCCATAAAGTGGGGTAACTGCAGCCTTCCAGAGTGATTGTGGGGATCACATAAGACAATGCAGAGGAAAGGTCGAGTGCGACACACATACGAAAACACAAAACAAAACCCATTGCTGTCAAGTGGATTCCAACTCACGGCAACCCGGTAAGACAGAGTAGAATTGTCCCATAGGCCTTCCAAGGAGTTGCTGGTGGATTCAAACTGCCGACCTTTTAGTTAACAGCCCTAGCTCTTAACCACTGTACCACAAGGGCTTCTACACACATGAGGGGTTACAGACTCACAAACCCAAGCACAAAGAGGCTGGCTAATGTGCTCTATGTCATGCAGCCGAGTTAGTAGTCAGCTAGGACTCCAAGCCAGGTCTCCTAACTACAGTGTGGGGCTAAAGCCTCAGGAGGGAGCCCAGCTGCCATCCACCTCCAGAACAGTGGGGAAATGAGGGATTGGTTTAAACTGCAATGGGAGAGACTGAAGTTTGACATGACGAAAATTTTTAAAATGAAACATTGCAAGGCCCAGGAGCCACTGAGGGCAGGAAATGAACTGGGGTGATAAGGAGGCAGAGGGTGGTGAGAAGTCCTTTCTCAGAAGGGATATGCTTATTAAGGGCATTATTTTTGATGGTGGAGCAGGTTAGCTCTGTCTCTGTGTGGGTGTGAGAGAGAGAAAGAGAGAGACTTAGCTTGGGAAAAAATGGAGAGGACCATTAGCTCGATCCCACCACTCAAACTATGAGAAAATCAGTACCAGTTAGACCCTCTTAGGACTTCTTCAAGGAGTTCCTGAGTGGTTAACACGCTCAACTGCTAACCAAAAGGTTGGAGATTTGAGTCCACCCAGAGGTTCCTCAGAAGAAAGACCTGATGATCTTCTTCCAAAAACTAGTCACTGAAAACCCTATGGAGCACAGTTCTACTCTGACACACGTGGGGTCACCATGAGTTGAAATCCACTCAACAGTAACTGTTTTATCTGTTTTTTTTGTTTTGTTTTGATTTTTTTAACTGGTTATGACTTCTTCAACTGACCCCTGAAGGCAAGTTGAGTATGACTTGGCCCCTGTCCTGAGGAAGGACCTGAGGCTCTGAGGCACTGGGAGGCCAGGGAGGAAGTCAGCATCCTACAGCCTGCAGACTGAGATTTTGGTGTGTTCATTTCTAGATCAAGATTTTCTCTGAGTTGGCCCCTTTCCTTTGCTCCCTATCCCACACTGTCCCTCTTCTCCCTCTTTGGTTCCTGGGATCTGAGAAAGTCCCACGCTCTGGATGAGGAGCGCAGCTTGCCCTCTAGCTCTTTCGCCTTGGGTGACATCATTCCCCTTGGGGTTGAGAAAGGCTGTCCTGCTGGCTCCCCTCTCAGTCAAGACCCAGATGATGCTCCTGCCTCCGCATTCCCCCTGGACCTCCCGGTTTCCCACAGCTCAGGCTTCCTTCTTCTGTTCACACCCCTCTCACAGCTGCCTTCTTGCTCTTCAGGGTCAGCACTGTGCTGGACTGACTGAGCTCGCCGTGAGCGTGAGCAAGAGGATGCTGAGGCTTCCCGTTCCTTTCCCTGGCCTTCCCCTGTGTGGGTTGGGTGTGGAGGAGACGGGACAAGACAAGAGATGCATTTCTCCTTGATCAGACCAGATATGATGAATGGAATCCTATCATTACTATGTGTTAAGTTTCAGCGAGGAAGAAACGTTCTGCAAGTGCATTTAAAAAAAAAAAAAAAAAGCTGTTGCCCTTGAATCGATTCCAACTCATGGTAACTCCATGTGTTACAGAGTAGAATGGATCCATAGGGCTTTCTTGGCTGTGATCTTTACCAAAGCAGATCGCAGGCCTTTCTTCTGCGGTGCCTCTGGATAACTTCGAACCACCAACCTTTAGCACTTGAGAGCAAATGCGTAGGAGGTCTTATATTAAAATAAGAGCCAAATTTTACCCAATGCTTCCTTGGTGTCATGCAGATACATACGTGACCTCACCTAATCTGCACGATAGCTTTATGAGGCAGGAACTATTATTCCCATTTTAAAGAATGGAGAAGTCCATTGAAAAACAGAGAATTTAAATAACCTGCCCAGATCACACAGCTACTCAGTGGCAGAGCTGGGATTTGAACCCTCTTCCATTTGTTTCCAGAACCCAAGATCTTAACCAATACAGAATATTATTTTCCATGTGAGTGCAATTTCAGCTCTTGTTTACTTAAATGGGGTCTCTGTTTTACAGCAGCCCCGAATTCATGCATACCAACACATTCCTTCTCCCTGGAAAACTGTACAAAATGTCAGCATTATTTCTTATGGATTTTTCCACACTGGAAGTGATTGAATGGGGCCATTTCATTCCTCCCACTGCCTCTGACCTGGACTGTGTTCAGCCTTCTGGAAGGAAGCCTGCCGACTCAGACTCCTTGCCTCTTGGTAAAATGAAACCTTGGGCAACTGCCCTGCCTCTCTGCAGTGAGTTACTTTCTGAGGGTCCCAAACACTCTGGAGGGATGATTTGGGGTATTCCGTGGTACTCAATATATGTTTTATGGGTATGTAGCAAGTGCAAGGTGCTAGCTAGTTTCTGGGAGACATCATGATGTGTAGATCTCAGTCCCTGCCCTCAAGTAGTGGATGTACAATCGCTGTTTCATGAGTGACTGAGCGTGCAAGCGCGTGGAGGAGCTTAAGTAGCAGGACCACAGGGCAGAGCATGCTCAGTATGACAGGAGAGGTATGCGGCATGTGTCAGGGAATCGGGAGACGCCCGCAACTGAAAGTTGGAATTGTGTTGTAGAGGGTCTTGGCTACAGGACGAGGGAGTTCAGATTTTATTCTCTGTGCAATGAGGAGCCACCAGAGGCTTCTGAGCAGCAAGTGACATGATCGGAGGTCTATGTGGGGAAGATTGATCAGGCACTCACAAGGCTGGTGGCTGCGAGGCCTTTTAGGAGAGCTCTGCAGCATTCCAGGGGATGGAAGCGAAGATGCGAGACATTTGGGGAAGGAAGACTCCAACACAGCACATGATTAAGAGCTATATGTGGAGGGTGGTGGGGTGGGGGCACTGGAAGGGCAGGTGGGTGAGGCTCTGCAGGCAAGCCTTCTCAGGCTTATGTGTCAGATCCTCTCCTGCCAATCCTGGGGGGCGGAGCAGGAACAGGGGTGGTTGAATGGAAAAGCCAAAAATGAATCTGAGCTTCCAGGTTGGGGTGACAAGGAAAGTGGGGGGCAGAAATAGGGAAATGAGGGAGAAGCTGTTTGCTGGGAAGGGTCGATGATGAGCTTGATTTGAGGCTTAGAGTCCACTCTGCCTGTGCTCTGGGTCTTAGCAGCTGCAGCTGAGCTGTGCAGGCCTTGGGAAGGAAGGGGACAGGAAGGTGGAAGCAGAGAGGCCAGAGCAAGGGGCCATCGGCAAGCACACCCTCCAATTCTGTGGCTTTTACTGCTGCTGCGACCGTCAGATAAGCTCACTTTCCCAAGCCATATGGCAAATCCCTGGGCTGCCAGGGCCTCCACCACCACTTCTGCCCTATCCTGGGGAAGGTGCACAAAGCATGGGCAACCTCAGCGTCAGTCAGCCCCCTCCATCCTTTAGTGCTGCTGGCTCATGAAGAGCTTGCTCCGATCTCCCCACCAGCCCCACCCAGGGTTGGCAGGAGAAGATCTGACAAAGAAGCCTGAGAAGGTCAGCTGTCAGCCCAGCCCTACCCTTCCAGTCCCCCAACCCCTCCACTCTCCAGGCTTAGATCTCTGCATTAAGACAAGCCTGCGAGGTAAGATGATCCTGTGGGTCTCTGGGGGGCTTAAGCAACAGATGGTCCCCACATACAAGGTTTGCTGTTGGTAACTTGAGCAGGATCTGAGGAGGGAGCTAGCGGGGACCAAGACAGCTTGGGCCCAGGGACTGGGACCTTGTGAATGTTATCAGACGTAGCCTCCCTTCACCAGCCTCCAAACTCGGCCCTCACCCAAGTCAATCTCTCAGCCCCTTCCAGCTGGCACCTGGGACTCAGGCCTTAGATACCCACAAAGGGGCTGGGAGAACTGGGCTCCCAGTTCCCTACCCTGGCGTGGCCAGGGCAGTGGAGCCAACTGGGCCAAGAAGGCAGGAAGAGGGTTCAAGCCAAGTCCGAGAGCAACTGAGAGAGGACAGGTGTTTGGGAGGGAGAGGCCGGGCTGGGAAGAGCTGGGCAAGGGTTTCCAGCAAACAGGAGTTTTCTGGTCTCCTCATCTCTCTCCTGATGAACAGGAAACCCCAGGCACAGGGGTTTCTCTTGGAGAATCTGAGCTTCTCTTCTTTCCCTAATGTCCCCTTCACCCTGTGTCCACTGCCCTATAGAGGCAGAATAATAGCCTTAAAGCCCAGCTTCACTGACCAGCCATCTTGAGGCAGTATTTGATCATTTAGACCATAGCATTTGGAGTGAGATATCCTGTGTTTGAGTCCTCGCTCCACGAGCTGTGTCACCTTAGGCAAGTTACTTCACCCCTACCATTGTTCACTCATTTGTTAAAATGAGAATAAAGCAACCTCATAGGTTCTGGCAGTCCATGGTATATTTAATATTCTTCACCAGCACCACAATTCAATAGCATCAATCCTTCTTAATATATATTAATTAGTATCTATTATATATATTAATCACTTAGGATGGTGCCTGCCTTAGCTAGTTAGCTGCCATTAATATAATTTTCTTTATCCAGCTATATCAGTGTTGAAACTCCCCATGACCAGCACTGATCTGCACTGTCCTAGGCTGCACAGCGGTGGGCCAGTGGCAGGCTGGAGTGGCCTGGTTGGAGATGTGTGTTTAGGGAGGTCCAGATTCAGGGCCAGTGAGGGGCAGTCCCACCCGCCTTGTGGCTCACTGGCTCTGTACTTTCTCTCTTCCCTGCAGATGTCCATGAAGGAGGTGGGGGATGGCTTGCAGGATCAGATGAACAGCATGATGGGGGCACTGCAAGAACTGAAGCTCCTCCAGGTGCAGACAGCTTTGGAACAGCTGGAGATCTCTGGAGGGGGTCCTGCCACAGGCTGCCCTGAAAGCCCCTGGACACAGCCCAAGCCTCCTCGATGGGAGGGTGGCAGGGGCCCTGCCAGGCCTTTGGCTAGCTCCCCCTCCAACCAACCTTCTCTTGACAGCAGTGCCAAGTTTCCACGCCACAGTAATGTCTGTGGGAGGGAGGTGTCCCCCCTGCCCAGGACACAGCTGCCAGAGCACCAAAGCTGCACCCAGCAGGGGCCAGAGCGTGTAGAACCAGATGACTGGACCTCCACGTTGATGTCCCGGGGCCGGAATCGACAGCCTCTGGTATTAGGCGACAACGTCTTTGCGGACCTGGTGGGCAACTGGCTGGACTTGCCGGAACTGGAGAAGGGAGGGGAGAAGGGAGAGATTGGGGAGGCTGGTGAGCCTAAAGTGGAGAAGGGCCAGCCCCGGGAGCTGGGCCGCAGGTTTGCCCTGACAGCAAACATCTTTAGGAAGTTCTTGCGGAGTGTGCGGCCTGACCGGGACCGGCTGCTGAAGGAGAAGCCCGGCTGGGTGACACCCATGGCCTCTGAGCCCCGAGCTGGACGCTCCCAGAAGGTCAAGAAGCGGAGTCATTCCAAGGGCTCTGGACATTTCACCTTCCCAGGTGTCAAGGAGCCCAAACGAGGGGAAAGTCCCTCCCCAAGTTGCCCCAAGGCCCTGGAGCCCTCACCCTCTGGCTTTGATATTAACACGGCTGTTTGGGTCTGAATCCTAGAGACAGAAAGTTGACTGGACCCGAGAGGGCCAGGTGGAGACGCTGTGACCCCGGGGAGGAGGGCGGGAGGGCAGTCTGGCTTTCAAAAGCCCAACTCCAGGTTCTTTTCCCCAAGAAAGGAGAGAAGGGCAGAAGCAGGTCCCTAGGTCACCAAGCAAGAGGTCACATGCAGGGCTGACAGCCTGCAATTGGAAGAGGCTGTCTGTCGCAGGGGCTGGCTGGTGGGCTAGGTCGGAGTTCATGGACTGTGTGTTTGTATATGCTTGTTTTGGTGCTGGAGGTGACAGCAGGGAAGGGACAGGGAGAGGAGACCAAGGACCACCACCACCCCACCACCCCCACACCGGGCATTCCTGCATTGCCCCCAAAGACTTCAGTTGAACATTCTATATGGAAAAGGGCACTGGGGCCTCAGGTTCCCCATAGAGGCCCTCAATAAAGACCTCATCTTTGGTGTCACCAGCCTTATGTTTGCTTGCTTGGCAAGGTGAAGTAGTGAACCCCAGCCCTACTGGGAGTTAGAGTGGCAGTGAGCCGAATTCTCATCTCCCACCTTTTCCTGCTGCCTTTGAGATTTCAGCCCATACCTGGACCCAGAGAAAAAAGCCAAACCTGTTGCCATAGAGTTGATTCCAACTCATGGCCACCCCATGTATTACAGGGTAGAACTGAGCCCCATAGGGTTTTCTTGGCTGTAATCTTTACAGAAGCAGATTGCCAAGACTTTCTTCCATGGTACCAGTAGGTAGGTTCCAACCCAGTGCAAACAGTTTGTGCCACCCAGGGACCTGGAGAAGGCCCAGTTACTCTCTATAGTCTCCCAAAAGCACAAGGGGAGGAATGATAATATTTGTTGAGCATTTTACACTTTTGAAAGCCCTTTCATTTATCCATTATCTCAGTAAGTGGGCAAGTAAGGCAGGTATTATCCCCATTTCCCATCCTAAAGGAAATAAGCCTAGATATGTTACTTGTCAAGATCACACCACTGGCAGGAGGTAGAACTGTCCAGGCCTGACTCAAGAGCAGAAGCTGGGCACTGGAGTTACACATACTCCTTTAACAGTACTTAGAATCACCACCTTCCCTCCCCCAAATACCCAGTCTCCAGCACCCAGGAACTCCCACCCAGAACACAAGCCAATCCAGTTGCCACTGAGTTGATTCTGACTCATGGTGTTTCAGAGTAGAACTGTGCTCCATAGGGTTTTCAATGGATCTTTTGGAAGCAGATCGGCAGCCTTTTTTCCAAGGTGACTGGGCAGACTTGAACCACCAACCTTTTGGTTAGTAGTCTGGGGCTTAACCATTTGCTCCACCCAGGGACTCCTCCAGGTGGGGCAAATGAGAGCCCAGAAGAAATCCCCATTTGTTTTTTAAACTCCTAGCTCCATTACGCGGCCCCCTCCCAACCTGGGCGCAAGCACTGGCCTCATCTTCCCTCACCCAGAATCAGCCAGGGCCGAGGGGGCAGGGGTGGGACAACACCTCAGCTCCCAGCATCTGTGGCAGCAGCTAAAGCTTTTCTAAAGCCGCTCTGGGCACGTGGCCCGGGGAAACAGCCCACAAACCGAGGGGCCCCCCTCGGCCCGCCCCCCTGGAAGCTACCGTCCCTTCCACTCTAGGCAGGGAACACCCACTGGCTGGGAAAAGACAATGTGGGTCCCTGTTTGGGCCGAGCCAGTCTTGTAGGGCACTCCCTTTCCCCTCCCCTCTCCCCCTTCTGGCTCATCTCCCCTCAGCCTGATGGGGTGTGACAGCTGCAATTAGAGGCAGGACGCCATCCTGGCCTCAGAGCATTAATAGCAAATTGGAGAAGAAAAATAAGAACAAGAAAAGCTCTTCTTCCTGCGTCCTGGACCCCCAGGAGCAGAGATGGAGGGAGGGGGCTTAGAGTGAGCAGCCCTGCTGCTCCAGCTGGGGGTGGGGAACACAGCAGCAGTGGTTAGGGCCACCCTCAAATTCCGACGCAAGGAAACGGGAGGTGTTCACTTTTTGGTGAGAGAAGCTACAGGAAGGAGAAAAGGGTGCCAATTTTTTAAAGCACCCACTGCTTGCCAGGCAATGTGCACAATATCTCTTTCAGTCTTCAGAATGACCCTAGAAGGTATTTTTCCAGAAAAAATGAAGGCTTCTAAGAGTCCTGGTGGTACAGTGGTTAAGAGTTTGGATGCTAACCAAAAGGTTGGCAGTTCAAATCCACCGGCCACTCCTTGGAAACCATGTGGGGTAGTTCTGCTCTGTCCTATAGGGTTGCTATGAGTCAGAATCGGTGGCTCCAGGGCACCTGACAGTAACAATAACAAGGGTCAGATAAGCAGCCCAGGATCATGCTGCTAGTAAAGAAAAGAACTAGGATTTGAGCCAGAGGGTTGTCTGGCTCCCAAACCCTGGTCCTTTCCTCTCCCTGGAGTTTGCCAACTGAATTAGCCCTTTCTAGGAGCAAGTCCTTGTCCAACCTTTGTATCTCTCCACAGAACTCTGACATTTCAGTCTGGGTGAAGGCATCTTGGCTGTGGCTGCCTTTGGTGGCAATGATGTTTGTGTGTGTGTAGAATGTGCATGTGAAGATTCCATCTACTGCTGTGCTGGTTTGTAAGAGGAGCAAGCCCTGGGCCATCCAGCTAATTATTCAAAATGGTGCCAGCTCTGAATCTGGAATGATTCTATAGGAAACCAAGTCAGCTCTTGACCATTCATCCACAACTCGTCTGTTTTGTGGACATAGTGGTTCAGATCAACTGAACAAACTTTTGTGAACACCTCCCAATGCCAGACTAAGGAACTAAGGACAGAGTACTGAAAAAGACCTGGCTCCAGACCTCAAGGAGGAACAGCAGAAAAGACAGAAGCAGGCTGTTAACGGTTAGTCAGAAGGAATTCAAGGGAATGAAAATTCCTTTTTAATTAGGGCCAGAACAAAACAATTAGGAAGTGATATTTGCAGCCAACATAATTCATAGGTGCTGGGCACCTTCACCTTTGTGTTATTTCCTTCTCAAACTACACCCTGTGAGTGTTACTGTGACTCTTATTTTACGTGGGTAGGCTCAGAGAAGTTAAGCAACTTGTCCAAGGTCACACAGTGGCAGAGTTGGGACTGAAACAGCTCCAGCTAATGTCCAGTCGTGTGCTTTTTGCACTGCCCCACAAATTGTCCATATCTGCTCCTAAGCCATATCAAAGGGAATAACAACAAAACCTAGTCCTCGGCGGCAATGGCTGTTTTTTGGTATGGATGATAAATGGAATGCTGACTGTCCAGTGGAGGAATTTTGACAGGGCTGGTGTACTGTCCCACCCACTATGTCATGCTTTGTTAAAGAAAGATTATGGCCAATTCATTTACCCTCCCATAATTTTTACTTTTTCCTCCCCTTCTGGACTCCTGCAGTGACAATGATGGAGACTGTATTTATTTTACTGAAGCTGAGAGAACAGGTGAATGGGAATGCTTGAGGCCTAAGCGATGCAGGAAAGTGTAGGAGGGGGTGGGCAGGAGAGTGTGTATTGGGGCGGGGGAGATAGTGGAAGTAAGTAGACAGAAATTGACAACTTAATTCTGCCCCTGGGGCTCATTTTATGGTTAATTAGGACATGCAAATGAGCTGGAAGCTCATTTAATACCTTCCCTGGCATGCAGCCCCACCCCACACCTGACCCACTTCCCTGGCAGGTATGGGAGCCCCTTCTGTGCTTGGCCATCTGCTCAGGGCCCCACCTGCTTTTTTGTGACCCTGGGGCCACAGTGTGTCTTTGAATGTTTCTCAACCATAGGCAGAGATGGACGAAGAGTCCTTGCTGGGAATGGCCCGTGGAGCATGCCTGGTCTCCCTCTTTCCGTTTTCTTCCCAAACTTTCAGACCTGCGACCTCTTTCCTGGAGGGTACAGGGCCCCTTGTCCTCAAGCAGTTCCCCTGCTCCCCACTCCTCAGGGTTGTCTGTGGACCTAAACTTGCTCTCAAGCATAGAGACCTGGTTCAGCTCTGCCCCCACCCCATCCCAACCCTCTTCCAGAGCCTGTGTGCACTGGGGGAGGTGGGGCGCTCCTCCATCTTTCTCACCTCACACCCCGTTTCCACAGGTCCTAGATAAAAGCACATTCTGTCTCTGGGGAGCAGGTGACCTCCAGGGCAGTTGAGGCACGTCTGCCAGCACCATGGTATGGGCACTGGACTTAACCAGGATTTGAGACCCATTTCTGTCACTGGGCAAGCCTGAGCAAGCTGCTTGACCTCCCAGCCTCATGTGCCTTGTCTGTGAACCAGGCTAATGCAGGGCCCCTGTGAGATTTAAGGACACAATGCCCCTCAGGGTCAAGCATACTGCCCAGAATACAGAAGAAGCTCAGTCTATACTGGACTTCCTGCCTGCTTCGTGCAGGCACTAACCATGTAGCCCAGGGCAAATAAACCCACTAAAAGTGCGTTTGTTTCTCTGAGCCTCAGTCTCCTGTTATAAAATTTACACTGGTCCTTATTACCTCACAGGGTTGTAGTAGGGATCAGAGAAGACAATAGGTGTGAACAGGTTTTTGAACATTGTAAAATATTACCCAGATGGGCTGTTGTTATTATATGCCAAATGGTAAATAATGTACACTTTTCCCTGGAGGGATGATGATGATGATGATGATGATGATGTGTGTGTGTGTGTGTGTGTGT